TCAATTATTCATACAGATCAGCAAGATAGATCCATTTTATTTATCAATAATCAAATCATAACGAATTATAATTCAATATTCATATACAAATTGTCTAGAATATATAGATTCTCAGGATACTCCTCAATGGAATTAATTCGTATCGAATAATCTGTTTGTCCAGCAAACTGATCATGGATCTTCATCAACTTCCACAGAGAAATTACCTTTAAGAGACTCGCAGGAAAAGACGATCTTTACGGCCGTAAAAGATAGCTTTCCTGTTTTGCCACAATACTATTTAAAGTATTCTACAATTTTAAAGCTGGTAGCTGAGACCAAAACATTTAAGTGATTTGAGTATGAGCATGAAGACAGAGTCAATAAATGAATATATGTATTTAATAAATGCAAAACTACGTATACGGTTACTAACGTTACAAGGAATAAATGTATTTACAAACACAATAAAACATTGACGAAGGAGAATGCATACAGAAAGAGAGAGAGAGCTGATCGCGAAAGATCAGTGTGAGATAGACAGAGAGGGAGGGAGAGAGAGAGAGAGAAGATCTTTTTACAGTCTATGGAGAAGATCTGGAAAGATCTGAGTTTGGCAACAATCATCACAGACACAGAACCGTTAAGAGAGACAACTAGAGTCAAATCGTACCCTAATTAGGGCAGGCAATCTTAGCAGTATTTAGATCTCGGTAGGAAAACGAATACTTGCAAATCATGTTCTCTCGTGTGTGTGTGTGTGTGTTCCGGACCCGGTCAGAGGTCCTTTCCGGCGCGCCCGTGTGTCGGGATGTTCAAATCGTCCGTTGAAGGTGTTGCCAAAGAAATGATTCAAACTAAGTTCATTTCACTCGCCGGTGAGAATGAACAAGGGAGAATACAAAAAGGAAAATAAAACTGAACTAGACAAACAAAGGAAAGATGGGTCATCGCATGAACACGAGGTCCCGATGGACCAAGGAGTCACATGATGAAGCGTCGAAGGGAGGTAAGAGAGCAGGAGTCAAGCGCTCGTCACATGTTGGAGGAAGAGAGAGAGCTGATGTGGAGGTTCAGTTCTCTTTAAAGGGACTGAAGTCCACACCTCTGAGGTGCGGACTGGCCAATGACATTCAACGAAACTTTTGGCGGCAGAATCGCCTTTGTCTTGTCCAAGCTCGATTTATGACCGTATCCACAGGTTTTACGACCACGTCAGAATTTGGTCAGAATCATTCAAAAGATGGTAAAACATAGTAAAATATATTTTACGGCTTGTTCAATTACATAGATGACTTCGTCAGATCAAGACGATTCTGAAGGTAGGAAGAAAGACATGTAAAGAGAATTATATTGCAAAGTTACATTAAAAAGCATAATTAAATACCCTTGTAGTTTGTTTTAGAACTGCTATACACTCACAGATACCTTCATAGGACCTGGGCAACAGACAAACATAACAACATATCAAATATATCCCAGTAAATGTCTTTAAACAAGGAGAGTAGTAAAAGTTCGTATATGTGTGTGGGGTGTTTGTGAGTGTGTGCGTGTGCGTGTGCGTGTGCGAGGAGTCCAGCCAGTCGTGTTGCCTGCAGTGGGGGAGAGCGTGGAATGTGTGAGCCTCTTTATGGCACTTGCTTCCAGTCGCGTTGGAGCACTTTAAACACGATTCTCTGGCGCCCTACTAGTGAATTACAAGGCAAAGGTTAGGGGTTAGAAGGTTTCCACGTGTTGGGCCGCATGAGTCACGCTCGCCCAGCCTAAATACCCTACATCTACATCCCTTAATCCTACCCAATATCTAAACCTAACAACTATTATTAATAAATACTAACAAAGATTAATTAATACATTATTCACTTAATAAATGTATTGGCCATTGTTAGTTAATGCTAGTTGACTAATGGGACCTTATTTTATAGTGTTACCCATGATCTCTCTCAATTATCGATTCTGATTAGCTGGAAGGTATGCATTAAAACCTTAATCCACAGTTCCAGTTAGTTTAATCACTGTTATATATTAATGCACTGCTTTCATTGAAGCACACACATACACATCACTCTGACACAGAGATCGGAGATCGCACCGGTCTGAACTATTGATACAAGGCAGGATGGATCCATGCTTTCACCAAATTCTGACCCCATCTGAGGGTGTACTCACACTAGGCATGGTTGCCTTGTACCGAGCCCGAGCGCGATTGTCCCCCCTTCCCACTCCTCCACTGGCCAGCACTCAAATTGTACTTAACGTTTCGGGCCGGAGCACGCTTACGTCTTTTACGATGCAACATTTTGTTTAGAATAAAACTGCTTTCGCTAATCGACTGCCTAATTTATGTATCATTTATGCCGCGCAGCGATTTTTACTTGATTGTGCTGTACGTATCAGAAGGCAGCTGACGTTGATGGAGGAATTTGCTAGCCTGATCCTACCAGACTCTCGTACATTTCATTTGTACAGAGAGTCTGGCCACTCCCCATTGATAAGTGTTAACTTCCCCGAAGGCGGGTACTCTGTTGAAGTTTAAAACTATTGGATCTGTCCAGAGCCACTCTGGATCTGCCATAACCAATCGCTAGCGTTCGCCTTAGCCAACTCATTCAACACAACAGACCGAATGGCTTCACTCGCATCTTTCTCCGCTGCCATCAACGTCATCGTTCTCAGCCACTCCCGCTGTTCGCTGATTGGACAGGTAAAAATTGGCCGGAGAAAACCCACGAATATACCGCAAACCCAGACGATGTACTGAAGGAAAATGAAAATTGAACGGAAGTACGTAGGAGGGCGGACCCAGGGTAGGAATTTGCAGCTTTTGCTCTCAAACTACAATTCCTGTTCATCAATAAGGTGAGAATCAGACCTGTTATAAACCTAAATATGCTCTAATGAATTAAAAGGGGAATTGCCCAAGTAGTAATAGAAGATGTATGTGATGACAGTAGCGCAATGCTGTTCCGTGCTCTGGCACGGTTAGTGCTCATATTACATGCATTACATGTGCCTGAGCCCAACTGAACCTCTTCCAAGCGGACCAGGAATGTTTAAACGAATGGTACGGAGTGATCACACTAGTCAAATGAACCAGACTTTGGGGGTCAAATGCGATCGGGTACTGTTCAGATCGCATAGTGTGAGTACATGCTGTATGTCGCAGTAGAAATCGAGACTCAATGGACCAGGCAACATCTTTTCAGTCTTCTACTGTCCAATTTTGGTGAGCCGTGCAAATTGTAGCCTCAGTTTCCTGTTCTTATCTGACAGGAGAGGCACCTGGTGTGTTTTTCTGCTGCTGTAGTCCATCTGCTTCATGTTCGATGTGTTTAGCGTTCAGAGATGCTCTTCTGCAGACCTCGGTTGTAACAAGTGTTTATTTGAGTTACTGTTGCCTATCAGCTCGAACCAGTCTGACCATTCTCCTCTGACCTCTGGCATCAACAAGGCATTTTCACCCTTAAGTCTTTTGCTCACTGTATGTTTTCTAATTTTTGGACCGTTCTCTGTAAACCCTAGAGATGGTTGTGCATAAAAATCCAAGGAGATCAGCACTTTCTGAAATACTTAGACAAGCCCCTCTGGAACCAAACACCATGCCATGTTCAAAGTCACTTAAATCACATTTCTTCCACATTTTGATGCTAATTTCAAAATCAAACGTCCTGACCATACATGCCTAAATACATTGAGTGGCTGTCATGTGAGTGGCTGGTTAGATATTTGCATTAACGAGCAGTTGAACAGGTGTACCTAATTAAGTGTTCAGTGAGTGATGTATATCAATATATACAGTATAAAATGGATTGAGAATCTTACTCGTTAATTTTGAACAATTTTCATTGCCGAGTAAGTTGCTTAGCTGGCAATTTTGTGTCAAGTTTTATGTCACACTCACAATCATGGGCACGGGTAAAGGGGAAGACAGGTGGAAAACCAGATCCACAATGAGAAATGAGGTGGAGGAAGTTAAAAGAGGATTAAACAGGCTAGACTGGCCAATAAATACCCTGTCTAATGGGATCTGGGGTCTCTGTGTGTGAGAACAGGAAAACGAGGAGGAATACTTTTGAGAATCATGGGGTTTATGGCATGTAACAGTGTGTAACAGTAACAAATAGTAATTGTTAAAAGCTCTGGCGTTCCTGCAAAATTTGCCTAAAACGCCTAAAAAAGGCCTACCCAATTTAAATTGCATGCTGTTCTTGAACCATTTGGAGTATATGCATGATTTTGGTTTCTTTTGAAAGGTGACACTCAGAGGTTTGTTCCTACATAGTCAGAATCACTGTAAGTCTTACTGGTATTGAGTAATAGAACTTTGAACACAATGTAAAAGGACCAAAAAAAATCCGCCTACATGTTTTTTTTTAAACAGATGCCTGCAGATAACTACAGCTGAGAGCTATTAGCTGGAAAACATAATGGGATCACAGCATGAAGCCTTACCAAACCCAGTTTAAAATTTTATAACAATAGCTTAGAAAATGAGTGTTTTACACCTGTTTATCTAAGTGTATGTCTAGGCGCTTCCCAAAAAAGGCCACTTGGAGACTCCAAAGGACCCTTTGTGCCCATAGACACATAAAATGCTGCCATTCTTGAATGCTTTACTCTGCAGTCATAATTTTGGGCTCTAATGAAAGGTTACACTTAGGGCTATTATATTCCTTATATTCCTGAATCCAGATTCACTGGCAATAATTGCTGACACATAGTAACTGAAGCATAAACACATTACAGTGTTTTTTTTTTTTTTTCTCAATTCTTGAAACCAAACTTTCTACAAAAAAAAGAGACAAAACAAGTGCTATGGTACTAAAACACTTTAATATTTGAACTCACACTATATATATATATATATATATATATATATACACACACATACATTGTATGTATATGTATTTCAAACTATTTACAAATGATATTTTTCTGAATCCAAGAAAATATCTCTTCCAGGGGCACATCTACTCAAACAAAACTATGAGAGCTCTAAAACAGATTTCACCTAACATTTTTCAAAGGTTATTTGCAACATGCCAATCATTATAGCAATCCCGATTTGGGACAAAGCACAAAGGCACGTCGCAGGAGGAGCACCTTATTGGCGTCTTTGCCTGGCAGTGTCTGCACCTCAGACGACCTGCAGTGCTGTGTCCACTGATGTGCACAGGCTTGTGATGTGCTGTGTGTGGAGTGTGGGATGGAGCAGGTCTGCCAGCTGCTGCTGCCAGCTCCTCAACAAGCGTCTCCCTAAAGGCCTTCTGGTGCATGGGTACCTCTCCTTTACCTTTACAGATATCCTTGTGAAGAAGGAAGGCATTCACAACCGCAATGTCTATGAAGTGATAAAAAAATGTCTTGTACCACTTCTGGGTCTTGTGGATGACTTTGTAATAACCTATCAGGGCATCAGATAGGTCCACTCCACCCATGTACCTGTTTGGACATAAAAAAAAAAACATTGAGATTTTTTATCTAATTTCAAATAGCATAAAAGATTGTTGATTATATAATACATACCGGTTGTACTCCTTCACCGCTGGTGGAACAGAGATGTCCTTCAACACCCAGCGCCCATCTGGATCCCTGACTCTCCTCTGAACAGTGTCCCCCGCATGGGCTGTGTGGAGTGTGGAACACATAAACACATCCCTTGTGTCTCGCCACTGGACAAAGAGGAGGGAGTCCTTCCGGATCCATCTTATACTGCCACGGGGAGATTTCGAGTCCAGAACATTGATTTTTGTTTTCGGAAAACCAAGTCTGTTTGTGCGTATGGTTCCACACGCCCAGATCCTCTTCTGAAGGAGGTCACGGAAAAGAGAGGGACTGGTGTAAAAATTATCTACGAACAACTTGTAGCCTGTACCAAGCAACTTTGTGTCAAGAAGCTCCATCACAGACTCGTAACTGAGCCCCTTGCCACTGTTTCCTTGCAGCTTCCCTTCATATACAAAGAAGTCCCAAGTGTACCCATTGCGCGAGTCAGCAAGAACAAAAAGTTTGTATCCCCAGCGAACTGGCTTATTCTTCATGTACTGCTTTAGCCCGATGCGTGCTTTTGAGGCCACCATCCTCTCATCAACGGAAATTTCTTGGCCAGGGTGAAAGTTCCTTTTGCAGGCATCCCTCATCTCGATGTACAGTGGTTTTATTTTGCAGAGACGATCAAATCCTGCTGTGCCTCTTCTCTGCTCATTAGCAGCATCGTCCACCATGCTACTAATGTGAAGGGAGCGGCAGATCCGAAGAAATTTCTTCCCTGTAATGACCTTTTTAGGGAACGGCAAGCTGTAGAGATTACCCCCTCGCCAGAAATCCGTTAATGAAGGAAGTTTCACAATACCCATATATATTACCATGGCCATGAAGGCAAACATTTCCTGCAGGGTAATGTCGATCCACGGGTTGGAGGGCTTTGAATAGTGAGTTGATCCAAAGTCATTAGTGTTTTGTATTATTGACTCTATCAGGGTGTTTGAAAAAAAAAGTTGAAAAAGCTGGAGAACTGTATAAGTTGCGGTACAAATGAGCCGGGGTCCTGGTGTATTGGTGGGTCTGAAGGTAGGCTGTGGTGGCGTCACGTCTGGAATGTCCACATCATTCCATCCAGCTTCAGAAGTGTTAGATTCCACCTGGCTGCTGCTGCCAGTTCTCCCTCTGCCTCTCCCCCTCCCCTGTGCTCTGCCTCTCCCCTGTGCTCTGCCTCTCCCCCGTGCTCTGCCTCTCCCCCGCCCTCTTGTTGTTTTGCTGACTGAACCTCTCTGGGAAGGTGAAGGGTGGGGCTCCTCTTCTGTCGAGGTGCTGTCATTCTGTCCCTCAGTATGCTCTTTTTTTCTGACAGGCTCCCAGTCTTCATCTGATTCATTATCAGATGATGGTCTGTGATATAAAAAAAACAACAACAAAGAAATAAGTAATTTACAAAACAATTTACATTGTTTCTGTATTCACAAGCATATAAACAGAACAACATGCACACAAACAATCAGGTTATACAGTTCATGAGCACATGAGCACACACACACACACACACACACACGCACACACACACACACACACACACACACACACACACACACACACACACACACACACACACACACACACACACACACACACACACACACCTGTGCTTGAGCCCAAATAAACAAACAATCCTGCACAAGCGCACACGACAGAAGTTAGCAGGTAGCTTACGCGTAAAACACACACACACACACACACACACACACACACACACACACACACACACACACACACACACACCTGTGCTTGAGCCCAAATAAACAAACAATCCTGCACAAGCGCACACGACAGAAGTTAGCAGGTAGCTTACGCGTAAAACACACACACACACACACACACACACACACACACACACACACACACACACACACTCGACATAAAACACCAAACACACGACATAAGCTGACAAATACACCTCAAAACAAACACATACCTCAGTACATACAGTCAAATATGTTGTATAATATAATAAAACTTACTTGTCGAGAGTGACGTCGCCACCATCCAAAAACAAATCCTCTGCTACTGAATCAATGGAGGACACATTGCTCTCTTCGTCAGAAATGTCATCCTCCGACTCATCACTATCACGGCGAGTACACTGTTCAATCACTTCTTCGAGTAAGAAGTGGGTTTTCGTAGTTTTCTTTGCCATCTTGCACTTGTTAGCTATTTTAAATCGTCAACTCGTCCAATGGTCTGTTTACGCACGGACGCATGAATCAATACGGTGCTTTGCGCAGGAACTTCGCGCATTATCTGAGGGATCGGCCCACTAAAGCTGCATATAAATCATTACAGAAATTCATTGGCTATAAGAAAAACCGTCATTTCCATTCTCTATTGCAACTGGGTCGATTTACTGTCACTAAAAGAGAGGGCGGTACCATTCTTCATCATTGCGCTCTTTGGCTATTGACAACAGGTGACACCTCAATCATGGACCGATTGGCTCAAATGACCTGTCAATCAAAAGTTCAGGGGTCAGTGGCCATTTTGATATCACATTTCCTTCAATGTTTACTTTTCAAATGAAACTAGATCATTGAATGCGTCGAAGTTGTGATCGTGCTGGCGGCTAACGCGAAATGCTAGTAATACATTCCGTGGATGTTTATTGATAAATAAATGTGTTATGGACTAAATCCTTCATTGAATTTGATTGTATGGACCCTTTACAGTGTAACCAAACCATTTTTGTTGGAATGTAATGGATCATGGACTAACAAGAGTCTTCCTTGATGAGTTTCTTCCAGTTTGTGTTTGTTTTTTTGGCTATTGGTGGTCTGACAAATTGACAGATTGTACCCGCTGTGTTGATTGTATCTTAAAACGGCTTACATCGCTCGAATCACGAGAATCTCAGCTTTCCAAAGGTGTATAACATGTTTACATTTTTTAGTAAAAAAAAATTCTTGCAAGAATTAAACCTCTGAAACAGCCCAACGTCCCGCGGGCGGGACATCGGACTACAAAGGAGTTAAAGGTGTCATTTAAAAAAAAAAAAAAAAAAAAAAGCCTACTGGTATCCACAATGGATTGAATGAACAATTAAAAGTCAGTAAGACTGAAGCCCCCTAAATAATTTCTATCAACACATGCCTGTGACATACTGGTCTAAATAATATTATTAATAATAATAAAATACATATATTTATCTAAACTCATTTAAACACAGGTTTTTTTGGTGACATTACTGGCATGATAGCTGTGCTGTATGAGCTGTCAGTAGTTAATTTGCTTATAGTAACCTTTAATTTAAATTATAGATAATTATTATTTTTGACCCCTTTTCCACATGACACATCTTTTTCTATTCTCAGCTTTAGGCAGAATCAAAGCCTGTGGAAGTGGCCCACTCTGTGACATTAATATTCATTGGGTGCTGGAGTATATTAGATGTTGAAGAGTCATGCAATATGACCGCTGCTCTTCATTACTGTTTTTCTGTCCTCACTGCTCCTGTTGAAACCTTTTTCTCTTCCACAAAACAAATATTGTTAATACAAGATCCATGCATTTGAAAAATAATAATCTCCATGAAAGTTCCTCTCAGACATTACTGCATATGTATGTAGTATTGTGCATTTTTCCTCCATCCATCCTGTTTGTTACTGTAAGCGGTATAGGGGAAGAACTTGTAGGCAATTTCAGAGAGGCTAGCAATATCAACCTAGCTTTGAAAGCATAAGATTCCACCCTCTCTAAAAGCCACGCCTCCTCCAAAATACATAAATGCATGCCATCAGAAAGAGAGAGAGAGAGAGAGAGAGAGAGAGAGAGAGAGAGAGAGAGAGAGAGAGAGAGAGAGAGAGATTTGACATTTATACCTCTTTATTTATATATATTTTTTCCTTTCAAAAATTATTTGACAAAAAAAACATAGCAGGGATAACATAAATTATTAAATTAGATTGTATAACCAACAGTAACAGTATTTTTGGCTAGCCTACGGAAGACTGCAGTGAGCATGCATGGATTTTTCATCCGTCTTCATACTGATAATGGTGAGTCCCCTTTAGTTTTGCTCGTTGTAATAGAAAAATACATTATATCTGCAATTGTAACTACTCGTATTGTGGATATTGGAACTGCAACTTTTTTTTATTCGCTCATTTCAGTGATAAAAGCACCAACTGCGACATTGTGAGTGAAGTTGGATTCCTGACACGGATAATTCCCGATTACAGGGTGAGTTTCATCCAACATAGTTAAAGCTGCAGTCCAGCGTTTTTCCTCTTTGTCGCCATCTCAGTTCGAAATCTGCAATTGCAGTCATTCGCGGAATTACCAACTTTACGTGAGTTGTACTTCAACACCCTCGACACCTCACAGCGCGGAGGAACACAATGTTTGAGGAGAGTGTGAGGCTGTCAGTCACCGCGTCGGTGTGGATACTGGCATTCAGAATCACAGATTATTCTTTTTGGAAGTGTGACCAACATAAGAATTTTCACCGGAAAATGTCATCTGAACTAGTAAGAAACATCCACTTTTGTTCTGGTTCTGACATTGCAGTAATCACGCTGATTAAATCTAACAATCGCTTATAAGTTATCATATCACGAAAAACCGTGCAAATTATACTTTGTTCTCTAATTGTTAATGTTAACAACGTCAGCAAGCATTGCGTGACTACATGTAATGTCCTTCCGATATGTATCCTTGTTTTCGCATGGGTCCGGTTGCAGTCTCTTTTTTTTCTGTAGCCACTCCGAAGTCCGAACGAAGTCTTTTGCATTTTACAGCGGGTGAATCTGTTGTCACTGGTGATTGTCGTTTGAACCTTTCTGGATCCGCCATCAAATTGATAAGTTTAATTAAATCAAGTGCAGTGAGAAAAGGCTATAAATCTCCACCTTCAGCATCCTCACTCGCAATATAGCCTACTAGCCGAGATTCCTTCTTTATGTGTACAGATGTGACGTAATGACGCAAAGACATGCTCGAATCTCCCGCGGAAATCCAACAGTACCACTGGAATTAAAAACATTATTACAAGCTTACCGCTTTGAATCGAGCTAAGGCAAGCAGAGAGTTTTGAACACTTGCTGGTTATGTATTTTCTCAAATATGTATTTTGGATCATTTTTAACCCCAAAAAAGCTACGGACTGCAGCTTTAAATTCTTCTGCAAAGTTTCTGCAAAGCCTTCAAGTACTGTTGCATTTCAATTACATCAATGTCTCTGTGGCGCACAAAATGACCGGTGTTGTTGGCTAAAACCATGCATGCAGCTTGCTTTTCATAATTTGCGAAACCTCCCAAGTCCCAACGTTAGACAAAACCTTAATTTCGGGGTCATTGTGCTTTCAAATGTGGGTAAACTTGTTGTAATCTGTACATATCTCTTGTCTGTGGGTGAATTTTTTTTATTTATTTATTTTCTATTATTTTATTTTTTTTGTACTAGTAGGCCTAGTCTTTATGGCTTTATTTTTGCATCGATCCAAGTTGTTTGATATAAGTTTAGTGATAGAATAAGCATAAAGAATAATTCATATTCAAAGTTTCGTTATTGCTGCTGCAATGTTACTTTGCCCAGCACGTAATTTAGAATAATCATTAAGAACAATTCATATTCAAAGTTTCATTATTGCTGCTGCAATGTTACTTTGCCTAGCACGTAATTTTTATGGATGTTTTATTTTGGTGGATATTCTTCTTTGCTGAGATTGTTTTGCATCGG